GCGGTGCCTCTGGACCTGGCGCGCCGGCTGCACTGTCCGCCAGCGCAGGAGCTGTGCACCGCCCTGGGAGAAGTGAAGAAGCTCAGCCACCTGCTCCTCGCCGACCTTTTCAGCGCGGACCCAGCCAGGCTGTAGCTCCGCCGCGGGCTGGTGACTCCGGACGCCTGGCGGGATGCTAGGGGCGTTGCGAACCCTGCTCTGGAGGCTGACTTGGGCCTGGAACATCGTCCATGCGCACTCACAAAGGAAGTGGAGAAATGAGACAATCATACCAGTAACGAGCCCCTTTGTCCACTCACCCACACGCGCACGGGTTGCCAAAATACATGGTGTAGTACTTTACCCCGATTTATGCAGCTCATTGCTTCAATTGTTCTCTCGCTTTGCCGGCTGAGCACACCGCCAACCCCGTGGATTCCAAAGTGCTCATCCAGCGCTTGTCACCCCATCCCCCGCCCTGTTAAGCCCAAGCAGCAAAGCAAAAGAGATGAAGAGGGATCTTTTTTTCCCCACAGCAGTTTGTCTGACTTGTTGTATGTTTGTTTGTTTTTCTTTGTCCTCTCATTTTCAGCACCTGACATTTTCGTGCCAGCGGAAGCAGCTTTCTCTCTCTGGGGCGCCTGTGGAACCCGGAGCTCGCAAAGCCTCGGTCCGGCGCGCCTGGGAAGCCCCGGGGAGGAGAGCGGTGGGCCGGAGAAAGCTCGGAGAAGGCCCGCGTCAGGGAAGGCACCCCGTGGCGCAGCTTGGGGAGGGGTGGTGTCTCCAAATTGCACAGGCCAGGAGGTCAGGAATAAGTGGGCTCCTTGTCTCTCAGAAGTAGGCCCTTGGAGGTGGACTGGATTGTACCCGAAAATGATGAGCTCTTTTAAAGATAATAATACTCATTGGACATGACTAGGTGTTGTGGACCCTGAGACGAAGGGAGTAGATAGAGGGAAATCTGTGCTCCAGAAATCCTTCCCTTGCAGCACGCCGGCTTTGGGAGCTCACCACCCTGGACTCCAGAGGTGAGTTGGGCGGCTCTAGGCAACAGCGAACAGAATGACCACTGGGGAAAGAACGTAAGCATCATGCAGGAGGAACGCAACACAATTCATATTCATATCCCTCTCCCTCTCTCCCTTTCTCTCTCTCTCTCTCTCTCTCTCTCTCTGAAAAATGTAACAAACCCCAACACATATTGCTTCTTAGACTTGTGCTAGCAAAGGAGAAGCAAACCATCCATCTCCTCCCTAGGCTGAGAAGTGAAGGCAGAGTTGAACCCTTTAGAGATTAGGACTTCCATTAGTGTTCAGCCTTGTTTCTGACTAGCTGCTGTAGCAAAACAACACAGAAAAACAAACCCACCAAAACCAAAACCAAAAATCTTTTCCTGAAGAGCTGTCAGTGATGCTCTTGTTCCTGAGGCTGATGGCTCACAGAAATAAATCCCTCTTTGAGCAGTAGGAATTTTAGTGGAGACACCTGTATCCTCACCCATCCACAGGTGCTTGCTGCTAGGAGTCAGAGTGCCAGCTGTTGGTGAAGGTGAGAGGGTGGCCACAGCCAAGACCTTCATGTCCTCTGGGTGTAGGAGCACCAGGTGCACTGGGGGAGGGAGCTTCTCCACCTAGTTTCTGTAATGCGGCCCCCAGGGAATGGTGCTGAGCCCTAGGCCTGGGGCTAGATGCCCACCAACCAGGGTAACTTGGGGGGTTTCCTTACACACAGGAGCACCTGCTTAAGGATAAAGAGGGTTTTGTTTTGTTTTGTTTTTTGTTTTGTTTTTTTTTAGTCTTGGACCCAGGATTCAAATATCACTAGGGAACCTAAACCGAATAACACATTGGTACTCAAAGCTCCCTGCTCAACCATGGGGTGAATCCAACGAATTGATAAATGGGCCTTAAAATGCAGAGTCCAGGTTCTTTAGGTGTTCCACACAAAATGCAAGGAATCCTGGGCGGGATTCCCAACCCAACTCTTAGCCAGAGTTTAAACACGACCAAGACCTGTGTGGCACTACCAGGGTGTCTCCAATTTCAGAATTAAATTTCAATAGCTAAAAGCTTGTCCGGGGAATTGTTATTCCAGGGGGAAAGGGTACCCCGCGTCTGTGGTTGGATCTGCAGGACCACCTGGAGTAAGAGGTACTGGGCTCCAGAGTAGGCTGCAGGACGTCTTCTCCGAAGTCGCCTGAGTGCTGACCGCGGCGAGCGCGGGAAGCGGGACGTGGGCGCCTGGCTCCGAAGCGCTGCAGCATAAGCCAGGGGTGGCTCTTACTTCCTACCTGGGGAGGAGCACGGAGGCCTTGGTCGTTTGTCTCCGGGGCAGGATACCTGTGGCTGCCAAAGTATGGCAAAGCCATTTTCTTGTGCCACATCTTGCCCCAAACAGTGGCACGACCTGGACTTCTGCTGCCCTTTATCGGGCTCAGACGCTTTCTTGCTTCCGCCCTCTGGTGCGCAGGATGCGGGACACGAACCCAGGTCGCCAGAACCAATCCAGGCAGCCCACTTGTTCTACAGTGCGCCCAGCAAGCCTCAGAGAGTGCAGCAGTGGTTGGTGTCTCTTCCAGGGTGAACAATTAGTATTTTATTTACTAATTCGTTAAAAAAAATAAAGTGAAGTGAAAAACCACAGTAGCAACGCTACTGAATTGGAAAAAAAAGCTGATTTTGATTTTTTACCCCGACATCTGCCTATGCATATAAGGCTTTAAGAGGTAGGGGCGGCTTCGCCGATTTTCTGGTCATTTTGAAATATAAGGAAGAGTCCCCAACAGCCAAAGCTGAAGCAATTTGACAAATAAAATAAAAAGGATTTCATACCCCAAAGTATAAAATAAATATATGTGAAATATCCAAGCTAAGCCTGCGAATGCGGCGCGTAGCGCCTCGGAGCTCAGGGTGGGGATTCCGGAACCCAGGAACCAGATCAGAGCCATCATTCACCTATGTAACTAGGAAATTCAGTGGGGCCTTTATAAAAATGTATCCAGAAAGGTAGACATTTTGGCCCGTGTGCCCAAAAAGGATCCACAGACACTAATGCAGGGGAAAAGGGCAACATCAATTCTACCTATATAACTTTTACTCCTTATAACTGGATACATTTCCCAAGATCAGCCAGAGGATAATGGTTCTGATTAAAAAATGGAGAAGAGCTCTTTATCGAAAGCCCTCACTGTTAAGATAAAAGTAGGTAGAGACATTCTTTGTCACTTGGAGAAAAATTTAGGGTGGAATTTATGGAAACTTTACTACTCAATAAAATAATATACTGCAGTTAATGGGTGCCTGTGAAAGAGAGAAATAAATGGTACTGGGAAAGTGGTCAGGATTATAACAACTGCAGAACCTGATTGTTCTGGCAGCATTTGGTGTAGGACTGGGGAGTTCTGATTCCTTGAATCATGGTTGTTGCTTCTGTGTTGGGGTTGTTTCCAGGTGGAAAATAATTAACCTCTGTACAGACTACTGTGGGCTGCAAAGAGTGCACATATAGTAGCTCATTTAATTTCAGGGACTGAGCTAGCTGTGCAACCTAGAGAAAATTATCTGACCTCTCTGAGCCTCAGAGTCTCCTGTGTAAAGCAGTTGGATACACAGACTCCCCTCTAAGGAAAGCGGTTGTCAAATGGGCACAGTGAATTGAGAGAGCAGAGCATTTGTCTGCACTCCTTCCCTCACCAGTCACACGCAACTCAGTTACCCCAAAAGGCTTCCTAGGAACATATTTTCATATGACAAACAAAGGTCATTGTGGGCACGAGACAATGGTGAGTGCACAGACGTTAATTGAAGGCCTCCCTGCCAAGCCACGTGGTAACATTTGGCCCACCTGGAGAGCCTGGTTTTTCTACCATTAGTTGGCTCCTTTGGAGAAGGAAACCCCAGCTCCCCAAGGGGGTACTGGTCTGTGGGACATTTCCTCTCCTGTGCACCCCCAATTTAAACCATTTCTCTCTCTCTCTCTCTCTCTCTCTCTCTCTCTCTCTCTCTCTCTCTCTGGAACTTAAACCATTTTCTGGGTGCATCTGCCACACAGAATTAAGAGTTCATTGTACACTGATTAAACAGGGCCCATAGACCCTCATTTCAGAACAAAGAAAACAGGCAAGTACCATTTATTACATAACTTTCACCCAATGAACAAACTAGATTTCTGTATTCCAAAACTACCCCTTCTCCTGAGTCTCTTTATTTTCTTTGATTTCCCTGGCTGTAAGAATATATTTCAGATACGTGAGCAGAAAGAAACCCTGCATGTCCTGGCCTGGCTCAGGAAGCTTGATGGTAGCCCATCTGGGGAAGAAGGGCCTGGCTGATCCCTTGTCCAGGCTCCTTATCAGCTCTGGTGGTAAAACTCTAGCCCACAGTGGCTTCCCATGGATTCTGGAACTTTGCTTAGGTAGAAAGGAGCAGATACCCAGGTTGCTGGGAGGGAAAAGACTTCACTCTGCTAGATGAGGCCACATCTGCTCCTGTGAATGCAACCCAGGCAGCTGTGGGCAGCTGCGGCCCCTCCTTGATGCTTAGGATGAACATGTTGGTCTCCATTGTGACCCTGATGGGGCTGGACAGGTGGCGGACTCTGGGGAAGCCCCACAGAAAGGACACTTGTATTGATTTCCTTCCCAGAGAGGTTAGCCGAGTGGGCTGTCGCAGGGCACGCTGGGGTTGTTGAGGTCAGATCATCCATTATGGAGTCTTTCTTTGTGAGTCGATTGCTGATGGAGTGTGATGGCTGAAAGACTCCCTAAACTCTGAATTGAGTAGAGATTGAACAGTTTTTTCACAGCACTGTGGACTGCCTAGTTGAATAATTTCACCAGGAAACATTTTTCCCCCTTCTCACTCTACCTTAATTGTCCTTTTGTCTTGGGAATCCAGGATGACAAGGATTGCCAGCACAGGGAGAAGAGGGGTTATGGATAGGCTGTGTCGGTTGTATAATTTTCTTGATCTAAAAGGGATTCACAAAGTAGACTTTCATGCTAAGGTGGGTAGAGACAGCCTGCCCTATCTGGGTCACATGAATCACTGGGCTCTTCAGTTCCCAGGAACCAAAAATTTCAGGCAGATTGGGGGTCCCCCTAGCTGGAGCAAACACTGTGGACCTTTGAGCAGGGAGGGAGCTGAGTCAATGATCTG